TGCACTATTCCTGAGGAGTTAGGAAGAATGCTTGATAAGGTTGAAGAAACCTTAAATGGTCCAAGTTATAAGAAACTTGTGGAGAATTTCCTGCAAGAGTACGTAAGGGTTGGGGCAAGGAGAACGTCAACCCTTGCATTGAATGGGTCTCGACGCAAACCATGGCTCGGATCTAGGGGTTTTCTAAGAGCCTCTATTTTTGTTCCAAAGAAAATGGAATTTCCTAAGGAATTTCATGAGTCTTTTCCTGTCTATTTGTTGGATTGGTACACTTGATATTATTCTTTTAGGATTTGGAATTACTTGTGTATATGTTTTTAGTTTATATTACATGTTCTTGAATATTTATGAATATGTTATGAAGTACATGGTTATGAAAATCTGTGGCCTCTTATTTGATAATGCCATATTATATGGCATGTTATGTGGGAAGTTCTTAAAAGTTTGTATAACTTTTGAAAAACTAAATTTTTTCTTTACATAAATGATTATGTTAATGATAATTTCAAATTAGGATTCTTAAATGATGATTGAGAACATATTGACCTGTCGACTCTAAGACCTTTTGTGAAACTATTCATTAATGTGATTAGTTTATGTAATTATGATGCTAATGAAGCATCAAGATAGGCATTAATAATTCGTGTGTATGTGTCTGAAATGTCAGATACGATGGCTTCAACAACTAAGAAGATAGTGGCCAAACTTAATAAGGGAGAAAAATTGAATGGCGACAATTATGAGATTTGAAATCTCAAAATTCAATATATGTTAGAAAAGCAAGAGGCATTCGAAGCTCTTAACCAGGTTATGGAAGAACCTAAAGATGGGACTACTACCCATCACAAAAAGGATAAAGATGCCTTTGCTGTCTGAAAAGGAAGAACTCTCTTGCTCGTATTACGTTGCTAAGCAGCATGGACAATAACATCATGCGAGAGTTCAGACGTTTTAAGAATACCAAAGATATGTGGGCCGCACTGGCAATAAAATTTGGTCGAACGTTCTATGACCAAACTGAGGCAACTCACTATTTGTTTCGACTTATACAAGATGTCTCATGGAAAGACCATGAAACAATATTTGAGATAGATGTCGAATATGATAAGTGAGCTGAAGGATGCCGACTACATACTCACTAATGAACAGTAGATGCAGGCAGTAAACCGCTCCTTGCCTCAAAGCTAGTAGCACATGAAGATCCATTTGACCCACAATGAGGGTATCAAGACCTTCGAGGATGCTATGCGGCATCTTGAGCTGGAAGAGGACCGCCTCTTGTAGTTAAGCCAGAAACTGATATTTACTTTGCTAGTTCTAGCTCGTATGGAGTTTCGGGCTCCAAGCAGAAGCACCTTGCTGGGTTAAAGAAGTGGAAAGGCAAGGGAGCAAGTTCTACAAGAAAGAAACCGAGGCTCAATCAATGAGAGAAAGGAAAGCGTCCTTTCAAGAGTGAAATGTTATAACTGTAGCAAGAAGGGTCACTTTGCTCATGATTGTGGCGAGCCAAAGAATGTAAAAATCCTTAGCATTTATGAAAGTGCTACTTATATGTCTAGTTCAATATTTCTAACTGAATCTAATCCTTTGTGGACTATAGACTTTGGAGCCACAGACCATGTAGCGAAGGATAGAGAATCCTTCATAGAGTTCAGACGAAGGAACGAAAAGGATATACGTGGGAAACAATTCCAAAGTGGAGGTCAGAGGCATTGGCACCTATCAACTATTTATGCATGGTGGACACACATTGTTTCTACATGATGTGTTATTTGCTCCAAAGATTCGACAGAACTTAGTTTCGGTGTTGGTTTTATAACACGAAGAAAAATCGAGGAACACTGGAAAGGATACAGCATATCAACAAGAGGAAGTTTGTAATGCGGTTGAAACTAAGGAATATAACATTCCAACTTTATGACATCCATGTGGAGCAATGATGATGTTGATCCAATTGAAATTCGCGAATCAAATCTAGAAAGTGTTGCAGAATCTGATTTTGAGACAGAGGATGAAGATCAAGATCAAGATCAAGACGAAAACGAAAGTGAAGATGAAGATGAAGATGAAGACAAAGACGAAGGTGAAGATGAAGATTATGATTTTTTAGACTTTTTATTAATTATGTGTAATTATTATTATTATTGCGACATGTGTTATTGTTGTTGTCATAATTATTGTTGTTATTATTATTATTATTATCATTATTATTGTTATTGTTATTATTTATTTGTTGAATTGTTAATATGAAAGGTCGTCGCTAATTTCGTCGCTAATTGGCGACAAACATAATTTCGTCGCAAAATTAGCGACGACATTGGCAAAAAATTTTATTCGCTTAATTTTTAATATAATAGGTCGTCGCTAATTTCGTCGCTAATTTCATCGCAAAATTACACTAAAAAAACAAGGATTTAGCCACGGAACATTAGCGAAGAACGCCAATTCGTCACTGATTTGCGACGGAAATAGCAACAAAAATAACGTTCGCGGCACGAGCACGACTATTTTTATAGTTCGTTGCTAATTTCGTTGCTAATTAGCGACGGACGGATTTAGCAACAAAAATAACTTTTGCTGCACATCCCCGACTATTTTTACAGTTCGTCGCTAATTCCGTCACAAATTAGCGACGAAAATAACTTTCGTGGCATTTTCGCGACTATTTTTATAGTTCGTTGCTAATTTCATTGCAAATTAGCAACGAATTAAAATCCGTCGCTAATTTGCCACGAAAATTAGTGACGAATTAAAATCTGTCCCTAATTTATCGCAAAAGTCAATTTCCTCGCTAATTTGCGACGAATTTTAATCCGTTGCAAATTAGAGACGGATTTTAATGCGTCGCTAATTTACCGCGAAAATTAATTTCGTCGTTAATTTGAGACGAATATTAATCCGTCACTAATTTGCCATGGAATTAGTGACGAGTTAAAATCTGTCGCTAATTTACCGCGAAAGTTAATTTCGTCGCTAATTCCGTCACTAATTTCCGACGAATTTTAATTTGTCGCAAATTAACGATGGATTTTAATTCATCGCTAATTTATCGCGCAAGTTAATTTCGTCACTAATTCCGTGGCAAATTAGCGACGGAATAAAATTTGTCGCAAATTAGCGACGAAATTAACTTTTGCGGCACTTTCGCGACTATTTTTATAGTTCGTTGGTCATTTCGTCTTAAATTAGCAATGAATTTGAATCCGTTGCAAATTAGCGACGAAATCCCGACTATTTTATTTTCGTCGCTAATTCCGTCGCTGATTCAAATTCGTTGCTAATTTGCGACGAAAAAAACTTTGGCGGGACATTCCCGACTATTTTGATAGTTCATCGCTAATTCCGTCGCTAATTAGCGACGAAAATTAACTTTCGCCGCACATTCGCAACTATTTTTATAATTCGTCGCTAATTAGCGACGAATTCAAATTCATCGCTAATTAGCGACGGAATTAGTAATGAAAATAAACTTTCGCGGCACATTCGTGACTATTTTTATAGTTCGTCGCTAATTTCGTCGCAAATTAGCAACAAATTCAAATCCGTCACTAATTTGCAGCGACAATAAACTTTTCGCGGCACATTCGCGACTATTTTTATAGTTCGTCGCTAATTTGCGACGAAAGGTAATTCGTTGTTAATTTGCCGCAACTATTTTTGTAGTTCGTTGCTAATTAGCAATGAAAGAAAATTCGTCGCTAATTTGTGAAACGACGTCGTCTTGATTTTGGGGTACAATTAGGATTCGGCTCTCTATCGACTCTCTCTCTCTCTCTCGATCAATTCTTCAAACAGAGCAAAAAAAATTAGGGCTTTCTCTCTCTCTCTCTCTCTCTCTCTCTCTCTCTCTCTCTCTCTCTCTCTCTCTCTCTCTCTCTCTATTCTCGACGGCTTCCTCTGACGAGTGTTTCTTCGGATTTGGTGTTCTTTAGCGCGATTTTTTCTTGGAGAGAGGAACCCCTTCGGCGAACACTGGTAAGATCGTGCTGACCGTCGTCCGAGAGTTTCGGATCTAAAGAGGATCGTCGTCCGAGGATTTTAGAGGAGGTACGTTCACGTGAATTTTTTGCACTTTTTGACTCGAGCGAGCGCTATTTCGAATTATTTGGTTTCGGATTTTGTGGGACGTTTGTTTGCTGCTGCTGCTTCTTTTATATTGTATTTTTGTTGCTTCTTTTTGTTCGGATTGGGACTCCTGTTCGGTTTCGGATTCTGTAGGGCGGAGATTGTTCGGTTTCAGATTCTATGGGACGTTTGGTACTACTTCTTTTATATTGGATTTCTGCTGCTTCTTTTTGTTCGGATTGGGTCTACTATTCATTTTCGAATTCTGTAGGGTGGAGATTGTTCGGTTTCGGATTATGTAAGGTGGAGATTGTTTGGTTTTGGATTTTGTGGCATATTTGTTTGCTGCTGCTTCTTTTATATTAGATTGTGTTTGCTGCTTCTTTCTATTTTTATATTGGATTCGACTTATCTCGAGTTGAGTGGATTGGGTCTGATTGGATTTTATATTAGATTGGGTCTGTTTTTATATTAGATTGTTCGGTTTCGAATTGGGTCTGTTTTAAGCCAAGTACCTAATTGATGCACTTAGATTGGCAAACTCGGAATGGGCTGAAATTTCGTCGACTGTGTGGAAATGGGCCGCTGATCAATACTCATGGCTAAGCCATGAGGGACATCGTTTTTTTGCGTTTCGGAGTCATTTAGATAGGTTTTCGAGCAGCAACACATTGTGTTTCACAGATTTTTATTCCGTTTTAAATATTGTGTGAAAGATACATGATACACATTATGTTTCACATAGAACTGCTTTCTAATGTTCATTAACAGATTTTGGAATAGAGGGTTCTAGTTCTTGATTGCCAAATATGCTCCCCTTTTATTTATATATAGGTTTGAAAATATCCTAATTTGATCATGTCATGTAATATGCTCCCCATCATTCATTTTCTTGTTTTCTTCTTAGATAATTAATCACCAGAAAGTGCTTCACTTCACTAGCTTTTTGAATGTTTTTGTAAACAAAGGTAACAACTGTTATTTGTGGCAAAAAAGAGCTAAAGAAGCTCGTAGACATTTCCGGACAATTTGCTATTTATCAGAGGCGATAGCAAATTTGTTTCATTTTCTCAAGTTTATCTCTTGCTCTCTGAAATAAAATGGTAAGTTTCATGATGTACGTCATTATGTGTCCATAATACATATTCATGTTTTTTAAGATATTTGTCTAACCTTCATACTTGTCAGTATAAACGTGGAGGTTACATACATGGTGCAGTTTCACAAAGAAGAGCAGCCCCTTCCCCTTTCTCGTCCCCATCCCTTTCCTCTTCCCCTGCCCTTTCATGTTACCTTCAATCACTACATGCTGATGGACAACATGGACACATTGGCCCTTCCTCCGACCCTCAAGAACATATTAGGGGACAATTTGGACACATGCGAACTGAATCTACTTCAGGTCCATGTCCTTCAATTCCATCTCCTTCGGTTCCACCTTCTTCAGTGCAACACTCAAATGATGAGGGAAATACAAGTGAAGAAGATAGTCGATTCATGATATGCCCATATGGAGATTCGTAAGTACTTCATTTTTTTAAGTATATGTAATATTTAGGATTTTAGATATAGATGTCAACTGAATTGTCCATGTTGCAAATTATCCGTATGCTTCATTAATTCATTGTCTATATCATCCTTTCTAACATGTTTGCAGATTCACGGATACTACGTATGTTGTGAGGCAACTTAATAAAATAGTCAATAACTCTTGGAGGGGCAGTATATTAGTTACAGTAGCGCTCCAAAAGAAGTAAAGGATTTGTGGTGGAATGAGTTCAAGGTAAGTTTTGTTCTTCTAGGTGTTTCTAGTGGCCGTGTTAGGGATCGGATAGTACCCTCTTATTGGTACTTTTAAGTTTAGAATTGTGTCCAATGTCTCACTGATATCCATTTTCTGGATTCGATCTCGCCATTATTGGTACTTTTAAGTTTCTTCTAAATATGTTCATGCAGTTTTTTGGCCATGACCAAACTGAGTTAGTCACAACGTGATGGATAGTCCAAAAGCCATCCTAAAAGGTTGCAAGTTTGGGGGTAATGGAAGCCCAAAGGGAAAATATGCTAACTCAACAAAGATTCTAAATTATCCTCGCTTTAAGTGACTAAGTTTTTTTTCTTTTTTTGTGCGTGTTTTATAACGTTTTTGCACTTTTATGACAAAAATGAACCTATTTACTATTAAAAATCATGAATAATTCTAAAATGAACCTATAACAAAGTGTGTATATTTAGGACAATTAATGATAAAGGAATGGTTTTTCGAGAGACTATTAAAGACCTTGGCTGGTTACTCCTGTGTATTTGTCGTGAATGACTTTCAATAGCAATAGTATAGCTTCTTTTTCTTTTTCCTTTTTTTATCTGATGTCTATGTTTCCATTGTTTTCATATGTAAAGTAAAAGAGCAGGAAGAAGAGACAAGAGTTGACTGTTCCTTAGGGCATGTTATATACGAGAGTGCCACCCCTGTGTTACGAAATGCAGTCTGGGTGCTATTGTTAAATTGCTCCCTACTTAGGCCTCCAAGTTCTTAGAATGTAGATGGAGATGGCTTCATTTTTTTGGCATGTTTACATTCTCACTTGTGTAACAGATATTGTTTCTTCTAAATATGTTCCTGCAATGCCTCTAGTTATAACTTCATCAGTCTGAGGTGTGTGTGCATCCGAAGAGTTGCTCTAATATCATGTCAATGGATATATATATAAAGGGTGGAAGAACTCATTCCGAAAAGTCGGCTTGCCAAGAGAGGGAATGCAAACGCTTATAGTCCCACATCAAGTAGTAATGGATATGAACTTTAGAAAATCCATTGCCGAATTGTCTGGTGCATGGTAATGGATATGTGATCCTCATAATAACTTTTAGTTGTTTTTATATTGATGCAGCGGAAGTTCGGGTGGGATGAAACAGAAGAGGATGAAGTTAAAAGAATTTTGAAGAAGAAAACCGGTGATCACATACGAAATGTGATAAATAAAGCAAATATAAGTCAACTAAAGCCAGATTTTATTACGGGTGACAATTGGACGGAAATTAAGAGAGCTTGGGAAACTGAAAAGAATAAGCAAATGAGTGAACAGAATAAGAAGAATCGAGCTTCTAGTTCTAGTGAAGGGTCTACCACATATGCTGGGGGCTCTATCAATATCGGGGAGCATAAAAAAAGAATGGTAAAACATGTTGTAAGTTAATTTAATTCAATTACTCATTTATGTTTATATTTTGTAGGCAAATGAATTGGGGACGGAACCGACATATACAGCTACATTTGAACGCACATTTCAAAAAAAAGATAAGACATGGACTGGCAATCGAGCAAAAGTTATTAAGGTATGTAAGGTTATACTTGAAGGTGTGTAAGTTTATGGAAACTAGAATGAAAACCATGAATGCTTTTAATATTTATGGTAGTTATATATATGAAGTTATTTTATTTTCATATATATTGTTAATGCAAGAAAAATATGATGAACTTTAAATGAGTACTGCTAGTGGTAGTGGTGGTGATGGTGTTGTTGTGTCTGAGCCATCAATTAATAGTATGGCATTATGGGTGAAGGCATCGGGTGGGATGAAAAGAAGAAAAATATTTGGGATGGGATCTTTGTCAAGGGTATAGACAACGCAGGCTGCTGCAACTTCATCCTCCAATGCGGCTATTTCAAGGAGGACACGACTTGAGGAGCAAATGACCCAAGAATTGAGTCAACTAAAACATTTACTTGTAGAGAAGGATGAAGAAATAAGAGTGGTCAAACAACAAATGCAATTGATCTTGCGACACCTCAAACTTGATCACGATGGGATTCCTCCTGTACCTCCTATTGACACCTAATTTTTAGCTCATTTTTTCATATTTTAAAAAATTTCAAAATTAGGTCTAGGAATCTTGGCCAAGCCTAGAAACCTATTTTTAAAACAAACAAAAAAATTTAGCATTTTTCTGCATTTTTCCTTAATTTCTTTTAGTCAAAATAAGCGAGAAAATCAAGAAAAATAACAAATGGAATCAGAAAAATTCCATAAAAATATTCGTTAGCCTTATTTTAGATCCAATTTCATAAAAAAAATTGTCAATTTTGAAAAATCTCAATCGGGTATATGTTTTTCCCAAAATTTGGCAAAATTAAACCCAAATTGAACCAAAAATGCAATTAAATTTTTTCTAGTCATTTTTAAGTCATAGTGTCTTCACAACAACTGATTATGGGACCTTGAATTGCATAATGGTCGGTCCAATTGCACAATTTGACATAAAAATCAAAAATCCCCAAACTTTGATTGAAAATTAAGAATTTTGAACCCAAATTGGGAATCATGCCCAATATGAAATTGTCGAAATGTGAGACCATCATTTCTAGGGTTAATCAGGTGTGGGTAATTCAATTTTGGCATCAATTTTGCCTAATCAGGTCATTAGGACATCAAATTAAACAAAACCCCATTAACCCGAATATAAAAATGAGAAAATCTTGGATACAATTATAATAAAAATTGGGGAAAATTGTATATTTGGGTTCGGAATATGATGGGGAATTTAATTTTGGGGTTAAATTTAGAAAATTGGGTCAAATTTGAGAATTTGGACCAACTCGGGTATGCCGGGTCGACCGGGTTGACCCGACCCGACCCAAGTAGCTTGTCTTCTTCACCCGACTTTGCCCAAAGTGCACTAAACCCAGAAATACCAAATCAAACCCGCGACTTCACCGATCATTTTGGATTAAACCAGCACGTTTTATTTGATTTGGCCAGCTGGAAAATGTCCAGCTGGCACTAGTTAACCACCCCAACCGATCGGAAGTCGGTAGAATGGACTTTGGGCGAGAAAAAATCGAGAAAAAAAATGAAGAAAAACTGAAGGAAAAGAGGAGGTGTTCGAGGAAATTCCAGAAAAAGAGGGAGAGAGAAAAGGAGGAAAACGAGAGAGAGAGAATCAGAGAGAGAAGATTGTAGGTCCTCCCACGAGTATCCGGCGCTGCCTTAGATGGCGGAGCGCCGGCGAATCGTGAGTTGATCGTGACCTCCCCTCTCTGTTCCAGTCAGCCCAGCTGGTCTCAAAGGCCTGAAATCGGGCATTTTTCGGCCGATCCAGACCTGTTCCGGCGAAGCTATGACCACCAGGGTGAAGACCGAATGTCAGAGAACAACCCTCGGAGCGCCAATCAGTTCGACAATTTCGTTTGATCATCGAACGAAGCAAGCAAAGTCGGTTCACAGTCAGTTTTTTCAAAAATTTTCCAGAATTTCGTTTTGGCCTCAATGTGCATGTTTGAGTGATTTCATTGACGAATCTTGGCATTTTGATGTTCATTACTAGTTTCTAACCATTTTTGATGTTGTTTGATTGCATTTTTGGGCATTAAAATGCACAAACCGAGTCGGCCATGCATTAAACCCCCTCGTCGGAGCATTGCCATGACTGTAGGGCCATTCAAGTTAGTTTCCCTAACCTTGTTTGATGTTTTGATAGTCATTAGAACCGATTTAGACGGCTAGGGCGGCTAGTGTTAGGATTAGTGTTCTGGAAAATCTTGTTTAGGTTAGTATTATCTTAGGATTTTCCAATCGGTTTTTCATCGGCCGGCGAACGTCCGGCGGCGATTTGATTGGTCTAGATTGATACTCGAACACATGGACTTCATCGTGATGCAATCGAAATGGTGAAAAGGTCGTCGGAAGGTCATCGGCGATGGGCACGAAGTCACAGCCTCAAGAGCACAGAACTGAAAATCATGCCCACCAACTATTTGTAGAAATGCCCCAAAGAAGGAGAGCCAAAATGGTGCCGTTTTGGGCACCATGCTCGCCAGAAGGGATGATCGGCGCCGGCGATGCTCGATTTGGCCAAGCCGAACTGGGTCGAATCGGGCCAGTCCAGTTCGTTTCCCCTGGCGGGAAAATTCAAAAAAATTAAAAAAATTAAAAAATATCAGAAAATTCTAGAAAATCACAATAATCATAAAAATTTAGAATTTTTTTAGAAAATTAGAAAATTAGAAAATTTCATAAAAATTCAAAAAAAATTCCGAAAACTCAGAAAATTCAAAAATTTACAGAAAATTCATAAAAATTCAAAAAAAATTCAGAAAATTCATAAAAATTCAGAAAATTCGGAAAATACAAAAAAAATTCAGAAAAATCAATAAAAAAATTGAAAAATTGGAAAATTCATAAAAATTTTCGGAAAACCATAAAAATCAGTTCCCAGTTTTAATAAAAAATTTTCTAAAAAAAAAATCAAAATAATCAAAAGTTTTGAAAATTCACAAAATGGTCAAAAATCATCGTGGCCAACCATAAAAAGTGAAATTTGAATTTTCGGAAGTGCCCAAGTGGCATTTTTAGAGAATTCCAAATTCAGGGGTTATAACCCCTAAAAAACCCTAAAACCCTAAGAAATGTGTAAATCATGAAATGAACAAGCTTTTAGAGCTTCATTAGGGTTTGAGTGTTTTGATTGATTTTTGTTGTAGAGACCACTTAGGGTTGATTGACTTGTTTGATTTTGATTGTGCATTTAATACTTGTTTGGTCTTTTCTGCAATTAGAACGGATAGAATTAGTAGGTAAGCCTCGGAAATTCGCATGACACGTTAGACATCATATCGTTCTTAGGTACCGAAAGGGCATTAGGGATCTTAATTTGGGATCAATAACGTAACTAAGTCCCCGTACTCAAAATCTCTAGTTCGTAGGATCGGGGTATTTCTCCCGTACCTTGATTAGATTTCTAGTCTACCTACCAATAATGACTAATGGCGACTTCAAAATCACAAATTTAGAAATCACTTTCCACTGTCACGTGAGATATGGTCTGGGAGAGACCTTTATACGGAAATACCTCCTTAGCGTGCAAATCCCGAAAAAAAACCCTAAAAAGAGTGGCGCGATAGGCTTAGCGACTCCACTGGGGACAATGAACCTTTTATAAGTGGACTTAGGCCTAGATAGAATGATATGCTTGTGTTTTGTGCTTGCAAGGATCCCAGGTACGTCCAACTAATGATAGTGTTAAATGATTTTGCAGGCGAGTGTTATAAGGGGTGTTGTTTTTGCTAACCATTGTTTTGCAGAGTGGTGTTGGGATTGAATGTGGTTTGAATGAATTTTAGAAGTGTTGTTTGGTCATTAATTGCTATGCATGTTTTTAAATTGCTTTAGCACTACACCATTAGCACACACTACCCGTGGCCCAACCCCGGCTACATTTAGGATTACCCTTAGGAGGTATGTGTTTAGGCGACACTATGGGTCGATTGCTCATGGGATCATTTAAATACAATGCCGATCACCGAGGTGGAATAATATTCCATTACTTTGGGTCGATTGCCTATTGGAATGGAATCCCTTGTCCATTAAGGTGATGACCTTGACCCTTTAGCATATCCTACCATTTTTAGGCGTCAAAACTTCACTGGTTGCATTTGCTTGTCTTTGTGGTTGGTATACCTAAAATCAAACCAAAATATCATGGTAAGCAAGTATCGTTCTGTTCCATTCCATTCTTTTACAATTATGCATGCTAGTTGGCACATTTTCAAAAAATGCCTAAATGACATTCAAAGCTTGGTCTAAATGCCCCTTCATTTTAGAATGCATGATTAGGGCATCATACTCCATTTGACCATTCTTTCATTTTTAGAAGAAATGTATAGGTCTATGGCGGATTTCTCATATAATTCAAATGCTTATTTCAATGTGTTTGAAGTTGCAACCCATAGTTTAGGACTTTATGGTCTAAATGGAGTATGACAAAATGGGCATTTACATCACACATTGAATTTGTCAATAATTTGAACTATATGCTCTTTTAAGGTTTAAATGGACTTAAAATGACATTTGCATTACTTTCGAGACATGCAAGTGTACTTTACCACCTTGTCACCTCAAAAGAACATATGATTGAAATAGAGGCATTAAAATTGATTCGCAATCCATGGTGACTAATGACAAATCTTTTTGCATAATTAGGCTCAATGGGAAAACTAGACATCCAAGTAATTGCCATTTCTTGAAACGAACTTGTTGCTTGGTGGATAGGCATGTCCAAAGACAACCAAACTTATGTCCAAGAAAGGCTTGGATACCTTCTCGAGCTTATGCATGTGGAACATCAAGTCAGCTTAGTCCAAGCATTGGCATATTTTTGGGAGATTTCCACCGCCACATTTCATCTTGGAGAGCATGAGTTGGTACCAACATTAGAAGATTATCAAGTCGCCATTGGAATTAATTCTAAACTTAGGGTCGTAGAGCCACCCATTGGATTTAATCCTGTGAACCTTTTAACCAAATTCCTTAACCTCAAAACTTCCAAAATAGAAAAGC